AAATTGTCGGTACTCGACGAATTCCGTCACGGGTGGGTGGTAGTTTCTGACATAATAAAGCCATTCCCGGCTTAATCCCCGTCCTCCCGGTCTGCATCCCGCCGCTGTCGCGCTCGGTATTCCCGCCGTGCCACTTCCGTCGGCCAAGTGACTGCGTGCGAGCGAGCATTTCAGCCGGCGAAGTTCTCGGAGCGGAGTGTCGCGCACCGTCTTGCTCCTGCGACGATGTGAATCGGTGTCAGCAAACGAACTTACGCGACTTATCGGTGTACACCCTACCGTTATCTGTTTCGCGTCGCTCAACTGTAGCGAACTTGAGCCGCAGGCTCCCTCCGAGGAAAACGGCGCGAGTTTCCTTTAGAAATTTCTTCGTTCATCGCGTCGGCTGCACGTGTTCCTATATATTGCGTCTTGCTGCATCGACATCGGTGCAGACTTATTGTTCTTTGTTCCAGAATTGTGCACAATTGTTTGCAGTTGTTTTAGCAATAGCGCGAAACAGACAAAAGACAGCGAAAATTGATAACAGTTTATCAAGAGGCGATATGATAAAAATATAATATATTTTTCTCGTAAAATTAATTGATCTGTCAATCTATCGTTGAACACTTATAAAAACACGATGTTATAATAAAAAAAAAAATGTAAAAGCAACACACGAAGAGATGTAAACAACCGAGGCGCTAGAAATAAAATATAAAACCAAACACACTGTATCTTTCTACTACAAATATGCTGCTGACGATATCGAAAAGTTCGTGAGGTAGAATGCGAATAATGTTGAACATCTCTCCCCGTTAGTATGTAAAACGGGAAAAGCTGACATCGTCAGGAAGTTAGAATATTCTACTTTGTCACGGCGCTTGAATATTCCGCGGACTTCGCGTAAGACCAACATTGTTTTCGCAAATGATATACCGTACAACCCCAAACTAGAAGAACTTCTGAAAGTTTGGATATATTGTAGAGAAGAAATGCATTGTGCGCACTTGGAATAAAACTTTTGAATTCATTTTGCAACAGTTTCATCTTCCGCGGAAAGTCTATCGCACACTAAAGCGCCTAATATTCGCGCCTCTACCATAATGATTTATAGTATTGCGCGCACGACGTGAAAAAAAGTCCGCGATTTAAGAGCAGATTGAGAAATTATGAGCTGTAAGCAATGGCATCGAATGGATGCCGTGTTTTCGCGTTAACGGACAATGAAGGTGATTTAAGCATTAGCTTCGCGTTTTCGAAATTTACGATTATTACTTATACCACGAATGATCTCGTTCGACTTATTAAAATTTGCCGCATCGTTGCGCGCTCTGTCAATTTGGCGGAACGGTTTCCAATTACCAGAATTGCCATCATAATTAAATGGAGATATTACGATATGAATGTTTAAGTGGCGATACACCGGAGAAATTAAGACACTGCGAGAGTCGCTATCTCTCAACATTAGCGTTAGATATTTAATCATCGTGCCGAGAAGTATTTCGTGTTGTTGTGTTGAAGCAACGATGCGATATTTGCTGATATAATTACAGGAAACGAAGCTGATCGTCTTTATTCGTGCACAGCGCACATCACGTGTACATGAAGTATATGATGTATCGATCGCACGAGTGCTTTACTCATGGAAAATGCAAAAGCGCGCGTTGTGTTGCCCCATACATGTGAATATGCGCGTACGTAGGATGCGAGACTGTTTCCATTCCATTCGCCTTTCTATCCGAGCGTGAAAACGAGAAAGCTGGCAAGTCAACATTATTTATCGATTGCGCACCAAGTAAATGAAATCGAATGTTCGAGTGTAACAGCTACGCAAACTCTCTTTTCTCGATAAACAAGTTAGTTGCCCTTTGTTTTGAATGAATAATGTCCATTGACGGAAGAACTAAGCGTATTAAAGATAATTTATAACGCGCGTTGTGAAAAAAATAACGGATCAATGAGTGTAAGAGATTACAAAATGTTGAACATAGCTTATTTCTCTGCAGTGATTGAACATGTCGTATACAGAAGCAAAAATACTGCGACTTTACTACCAGTTTTATCACTTCAATAAAATAAAGCAGGATTATTCCACAAGATTTGGATATTTTTGTAAATAGATACGCAAGTGTTTTACTAAATAAGCTTTATGCAGAAGAGAGCTTTTTGCAGCAATGCGCATTGTAGAGGCACACGTGCCAGCCGCATTTTTGCCCCGATAAATGCAAAATGAATAACGGAAGTGGAGCCTAAAGCAGCAGTGCGAATAATAGGCATGAATACGTACGTGAATAGAGCAGGCTCTATCTCACGCCTGGGCTTGTGCCTGTCGAATCATTACTGAAAAGAACGAGGGGAATCCCCGCGAAGGCGCGAATGAATGAAAGGAATTTCCGCCGCTGAGCTGGGGATGAGATACCGGTTCACTTTTTAATTATACCAAAACTTAATACCATCAAAGATAATCTCGCGCTCGTTAAGTGCCGCTCCGTTCCTAGAGCCTCTCGCTATCGATCGCGCAAATAGACGGGATAATTCGACCGTGTAATTTACCTGATTCTTCAATAATCAATACGTTGTTAGCGTTCAATATGATTTATAATGAAGCATGTTTGTAAATGGATAATGAGAGCCAAAATGCGTTACGCCCGATTCATAAGTGAACAATGCCGCATTCGGGCCGCTGGCAAATTTTATTGCGTTTTTCGGATTTTCCGTTTTGAGAAATGTCTTCGACAGCAATACGCTTGCGGCTATATATCCGCTGCGCGCTTGGATAATAAATATACTATACAAGCATGTTGCCGAACATATGTTAACATTTTTGCTCTGTTTTTGTCGCGCATGTCGCTAAAATTATATGCTTATATGTTTTTGAAATATCTTTTATTGTAAAATATGTATATGCAAGTGTGTGGAAAAAAACAAATAAAGTTAAGCAGATGCTAGGACTTGTGCCTGTCGAATCATTACTAAAAAAAATGAGGAAAATCCCCGTACCAATAAAATTTATAAATGATGATTACATATATTTGGTAAATGACATTAGAATCGTATTTTCCACTCTTTACTTTTGTGTATTAAAAAAATAATCATTCTCTAGAAAAGACTTTTCTAAATATAATAATAGTAATTATATTATATTTTTCTAGTCATTTTCAATTCTTTTATATTTCTGCTCTCTTGAATTCGGATTTGAAACATAAAATGCAATCTAATAGAAACTACATTTGCACACACAAGCGGCCACTATTCGCTTAATTGTACGAATTTATATTGGAGCGGCAATCACTTTACGGATAAGTGATCGTAATCAGAGACTAAAAAAATGCACGCATTTGCAAAAGTAGTTTTGCAAACACTATCTTTTTGCTTTTGATAGTCTAATATATAACTCGTATTGCAAATACAAAATTGTTATCACTCGTACAACATAATCTCACGAAATTAAGCAAATATATACAATCAATACATATCTAAATAAAATATTGTAATTAAGTTTTCAAATAATTGACGCAATTTTTAATTAGTAAATCACTAATATATAATATTATATTTTTTAATTTAATTATAATTTAATTACTGTTAAGCTTAAAATGGAAACAAGCTTGTTTATACAACGGTTGAGGCTTTTAGCTAAGCGGCTTAATATCATATTAATGTTGAATCTTTACTAGCGCATTCGCAAGGGACCAATACATTAATTATTATCTGAAAATCAGACGAGTAATAGTAACCGACGTGAGCTCGTTCCTAACAAAACTCACAACGAACAAGAATATCCGATATCTGCTGAGATTCAATTAATTTTTCCATTTTCGTCATTTCAAACGCACGCAATGCGAACAAATTCTTTTGAATTTTAATTACGACACAAATCGCCTGTATATCATAAACGAAAAATCTGGCTTCCTTTGGCTGATGGGTCTAAAAGATTTATAATTAATTATTTAAAGAGCCGTGCTTATTATGGAAAAGCAATCTGTACGAATCCGCCGCGTTCTATTCAACTTCGGCGTAGTGTAACACATCATCGAATCACCGTTCGTTGCAAACGAAATTGACGCTCGCGATCGATCAATGTCAGATTCGCGGACCAACAACTTCGTTCGTTTACGCGGTACAAATAAAATTCCCGGAAACGTGGCAGGATGCGCCGGTATGCTTGATTGTTGGAAATATTGCGGGGAAGAGCAAATAAAACGTCGTAAACTCGAAAATGTACGAGTTGGAAACAGTCTGTGATTCCGCAGAGCGCTATCACGTAACGCTATTCGAATCGCCAGTGGGCACTCGAAAAGTCTGTTGAATTTAGAAATTAATTACAATTAAATAGAATAGAATAAAACGAAAATCTTCCTCTATATTTTATAAAATGTATCTTAGAAACCTTTTAAATCAATAAATAAATATACAAGCGGGCTGAGAGAAACCGCCCTGTTTATTTTGTAACTGATTGATTTGTACGGCAAAAAATGCCGTAACAAATTTATTTTGTTTTCGAAGAGAATGATCGCGATAGATAAACAAGATGGAAAATTTTCTTTGACTCAACATATATATATATATATATTATTTTT